CAACTAGTGCAATAGTATGGGACCTTTGATTGAAGTCTACTCAAGTTTGAAAGTCTTGCTTATTCTTTGGTTATATTAGGAAAGACCTGTAGCAGTTTTCTTTTCTTCAATTCTCTTGCATCTCTCCTTACTTTTATTTTATCATAAAAACTATTCACATTATTATTATTATACTTACTAAATCAAATACTTTTCAAAACATATACTCAAACAAAGTTAGTAGGTCTACTGTTTGTTTAAATCAATTCTTATATACAATATTTTTGTAGCAATATTTGCTGCATCATTTTCAATCTCTAAAAAATTTTCACACAAAAAACCAAAATTAGTTTACTACCTTCAGATAATCAGTACCCTCCAATCATCCAATCAAATTTCACTTAAAACTCAAAACAAAAACTAAACAAGCTCAAACTAGTTTTATATTACAATAATAATCACAATAACAATAACAAATAACTTACTATCAACAACTATAATAACAAATAATATCACATATGCTCTATTATCTATAGCATTTAGAAAACCAGAGAAATAGGGCAATAAGCATGTCTAGAGGTTTTTCTATTATACACATGGATCTTATAGTATATTTAATTTGGTTTTAATTATAGTTACTTCTATTTTTCTTTTCAATTTTTTACACTTAAAAAATCAAAAGAATTCATAAATTTTTCTGAAATAATAGGCATAACTACTACTTAATCTTATCTAGTATATTAATATTGATTTTGAATTTTTTTATAATATTAGTTAGATATTAATAAGTAGATAAGCTAGCATTTAACTTTTCTGAAATAATAAAAGGGATGTCATTTCTTTTACAATGTATATTTTGTTATATACAATATCAAATAAAGAAATAATTTTACTTATTGGAAAAACTCCTCAAAAAACAAAATATTCTATTCTTTATATATATATTTACTGAATATTTTGTATATATTATATTCAATAATCTTTAACTACAATCAAATTTAATTAAATTATACAAAGATGAAATTTTTGATTTTTTTAATAACTACAGGTTAAAAACAAATTAAAATAGAAAAAATTATATAAGAAAAAACTTTTGATTTAATTTTTATAAGTCTATATTTTTTTATAATATAATAAACTCTATAATATAAAGAATATTTTTTTTTAAAACTATTTTAATTTAATACTTGCTTAAAAAAAGATATTTTTTATAGAATTATTCAAAGTTACAGATAATAACAAAAGTAATTTACCTTTTTCAAGATTTTAAATAAAAAGTTTTCAAAATATTTAAGTATTTTAATTATTTTTAAAAGATATTTATAATATTTTTTATATAATAAATATAGTTAAAAAGAATTTAGATTATATTAAATGGTTTAAAATCAATAATAGAATTTTTATTTTCTAAAAATTTTATTTAATATACAGATCACTTTTTTAAATAATAAACTGGTATATAAAGTAAGTTGATAGATAAGAAAATAGATTAACTTAAATAAATCTAGAAATATACAATGTATTGAATATAAATAATTCAATAAATAAACTTGTATATTTAATATTTTTTATTTGAAAATATATATATATATATATTAGACAAGATCTTGCTAATTAAAAAAATCATATATAAGATAATAAATATTTAAAATATTTAAAATAATAATAATTATTATATTAAAATGGTCTTGTATTAATAAGTAATTATTTTAAATCAAAATAATAATTTGTATAAAATAAGTTTTAGATTTTTGCAAATATTCTTAAATTATATTGAAAAAATTCTATTTAAAAAAATATAGTTATTATATTTTATATTTTATTTTATTATAATAAATACTTAAAATTTTTTTATAACTATATATTCAATATGACTTAACTTACTATTAAAACATTAATAAAATATTAATTGTTAAAAAAAAAATCTACAAAATTTTTATATATTATTGAAATAAAAATATATACAATATTTAATAATTATATTTAATAATAAAAATTTTTATTAAACCAATTTATAATATTAAAAAATTAAAAAAAAACAAGTATAAGCAATAGATAAATATATTTACAATACTTTTTTGATTTTTGCAAAAATTAAAATTATAAAACTAATAAAGAAAAAATTAAAAATTTTTTTAAAACAATTCAATAATATTTAATAAATATTGAATATAAAAAAAATTTTTTTTAGAAAGATTTCAATGCTTACTAAAACTTATAAGCAAATATATATTTTATAATAACTCATATATTAATAATAACTTGGAAAAACATTTTTTTTTATAGAACAATCTTTTAACTCTTTTAATACAAAAATAAAAAAACCTATTATATTTCAATAAATTATAATAAATTATAATAAAAAATTCAAAATTATTTTGTTTTCAAAAAATAATAAATATCAAGTTTTATGCCAATATTCTATATAAGCATATGCCTAAAATAAAAACAAAAACTTAATACTTACTGATAATAGCAACAGAATAATAATTCAAAGTATACAAGCCACCTTGCTAAGAATTTTCTTTAAGAAAGTATATCAGAAATTATAAACTATTCAACAATCTTAACTCAAATTTCATAGAAAATCTATAAACCCTAATCAAAAGAAATATGAAAAAATATATGCTAAAAATTTGAATTAATTGAAAAAATTTTATAATTAAAAAATCAAAAAAATTTTCAACTCACTTTAAAAAATATGGTTATATCAATAAGTGAAAGTGTCAGGAGACAATTGAGAAAAGCAGCAAACATATATCATATTAATTTTTATTGATAATAAAATAAGACTTAACTAACATACCTATATTATAAATTATGCAATGTTTTGCACAATTGTTCATTTGTTATCATATTATTTGCAAAAGTGATTTTTTTTGTCTCCTGCTGTAATTAAGAAAACTTCAACTAACGAATTGATAATACGAATACTTACCTTCAAACATAATACGTATTTCAAAGCCACAAGGCTTTCTGGAATGTTTTCCCATATTGTTCCAATTTGACATTAACACGTCTTGAACACGAAATAATACTCAACGTCAACATTATAATACATGGCATAAATTTTTCCATTAAGACCTTTGTTAAATTAAATGTAAATAATGGATGTCAGAAAACTTTAAACTAGAGTATAAGACATTTGAAAATTTTCTCCATTAATTCATACAATTACCTCCATGAGTTATTCCATGCAAAATAATATTCTTTACTTCTTCAATGACTCTTTTGTAAAATTTAAACTCTTCAGGAGACAATCAAGTTGATCTTTCATTTCACGAAAAAGCTTTTGTTTATAGGAAATTGGTTTTGAGTTACTAAGATCTTCGTCAGTATACGTTTCTGAGCCAAAGTACTCCATATTATCAATACAGAAAAGAACATCAATCTTGTGTCCAGATTTTTTTTCCCGATTTTTCTCTTGATCTGTTCTTACGTTCAATAGATGCCAACGACATCTCATCTCTGAAGTGACAGAAATAATAATTAGAATAAAATAATGATATCAAGTTTATGAAAATAAATTTACTAGGAAACTTCATACTAACCAATGGACTTGAATTTCCTCGCATGTTAAAAAGCAGTCGTCAATCAAGAGAGTTAAGATATGGCAATTTAGCCAAAAGAGAATTTTGTGGTGCCTCAAAAAAAGATAATTTACATAACAAATAATGCAATTTATTATGAAATAAATCTATAGAAACTAAAACCCCAATTTATTGGCGAAACAGTGAACCCAGTTCATCTCATAATGCTTATCAAATGAATAAGGTTCATCCAGTGGAACAAAAGGAAGTTGAAGTTTGCTATGGAATTTATTACGAGTATCAGACTGAGAAAAGTTCGAAATTAGTAATTTATAAAGGAAAAGGAAATTAACTAGTGACCAAATCCTCGGACATACATTATCGATTAATTCATCGATATATTCTGTGGTCTCATTAGTGACGGAATCCCATTTATAATCACGTTTGATTTTTAATCTATCCATTAAAAGCTTATTTGTTGTCGGTTCACTATGGTGAAATTAATCAGTTAATAATGTAGGAATATAAATTAGCTTTAATAGACATGTTTTTACTTACTAAGTGGATTTCGTTCGCAACTTTTCTTGCCTTAATCGTTTAATTAAATCTTGTTTTCGGATGTAAAGCGAATTTGATGAGGCGGAGTACGTGGTCTATCATACCCGCTGGTCATTCCTGTGCTAGACCTTGCACTTTCCTGAGCCTGATGATGAGTTTTGCACCCCAGATGGTGATGATAGCGTGTCCTTTGTGGTTTTGGCCTGTTTGCGCAAATATATATATGTAATCTTGAGAAGAATTCACAGCAACAAATCCTTATAATCATATGGATGCATCTTTTATTAACTTTCTTAGCTGAACCAACCGACTCTTTATAATAAATCATTAAAAACTATTGTAGGCAACATAAGGTCTTGTCAATATCCTAACCTTTTTCGGAAGGGATAACTGCTTATTTCGTTTTTTTTTGAGGTTTGAAATCATCATCGGACTAAATACGAAAAAAAAGAATTAAATTTTATTAGATGGCTACAATTCTATCAATTCTCATTAATAAATTACACATTCATACCTCATTCTGATCTCTTCTTGACATAAGTTTTACTTCACCGTTTATATTTTTAACCGTTCCTCCATTTACTACAGTCTCCGCATTTAGATTCGGTTGGTGGATGTAAATTTGCTTTTGCGTGCGCTTTCTTTCCCATTCTTTTGTTTTTGTACGATCAGGTTAAAGTCCCTAGCATGGAAACTCTGGAAATTAATAATTTTCAAACAAATATTTACTATCCCACTGAAACATCAGCCAACCTATCAGGCCAACTGTGCCTCAGTGGGTCCAGTGCTGGATCAGCTAGCAGCCTTTAGCATCAGATAACCTAACAAGTCACCTGTGCGCCAGCACCAGTTTTGTGGCTCAGCTAACAGCCTTGAATGACCGACAACCTAACAGGCCTCCGTTCACGCCACGATTTCAAAGAAATGTTACTTGCCAGTATAAAATTGTCGAGAAGCGATTGCGCTTTTTTAGCCCTTTCCCCTTGCTGGTCATTAGCGATGGCTTTGAGGCTTTTAGTGTATTTATCTATCTTCGCGTCACATGGTTCTACCTCACTTTTGCTTAAGAAATCAATAATACTCCAAGTTTCAGGGTTTCGTTCAAAGTATTCGGACATGACTAATACGTGTTTTTTTTTCTTATACTTGGTCACAGAAATCAATTATAGTTTATACACGTGACTAAATGATTAATAGTCAGTAGATGATTTGTGAAGTATTACTTACACATCTATTTTATAGATTTAATAATATTTGATGTCTATTCTTGACCTTAATAATATCTTTAATACATTTTGACATGCTTAAAATTAATTGATGTAAAGTATTTATATTTGCTTATTTCTTTTTCCTTTTCGAATTTGATAGTCAAGATTATACATACAGTATGTTCATATTACCATAAAAAGAAATTTGATCTACAATATAATTTTAAATTAAACATGATTTTCAATTATTTATTATATGTTACTTAATAATTTTACTATATGATTTTTATAATTCAGATAGTTTTACAAATGTTTAATTGAATTTAAATTTTGTAAAATTCAATTTAAAATTGAAATATTATATATAAATATATATTTTAAAATATGTAAGTATCATTTTTTTTTTAATGACTGGCATACACCTTGTTTATTGAATATTATTGTAAGTGCTCTTACATAACTTTGTGACAAAGTCAGACTCTATCTATTCCCTAAACTATCTAAGATAGCAAACTACCTATCAATCGATTTGTTGCTCTCCATACCTTTTATATTATTAATACTGAAGCCCTAATAGTATAGGTGGAAAACTAACTTGTCAGAATATATATCTCTAAGTTCCTATCCACCATCCAATGAACAGGAACTTAAAAGACCATCCAAACATAGTTAGCCAAAAACTAGTTATATTCCATTGGCTTTAACTAGATTTAAAAAAAATTTTAAAAAATAAAATAAAATACATATGTATGTTTACATATAAATATCTATAGTAATCTGCAGAAAAATTCCTTAAAACCTGCAGGACATATTTGTGAAACTACAAAAAGAAAAAAACTACTTATTAGAACTCCTAACGGTATCACTTCGATATTACTTCAATATTTAAATTTATTATAAAAACATATGAGTAGGTCATAATCCATATATTAAATTTACTATAATAGATAGATACTATTTCAATACCAGTTCGATATCAGTTCGGTATTTTATGAAGCCTTACTATTTATTGTTTTAAAGAAAAAATCTGTTTTTTTTTTTTTTTTTTTTTAAAAGGCTAAGGTGCGATACATGCATGGATTTTATTTCATAAATCACATGATTTATAAAGAAAAAACCTGTTTGTATGCTATTGTAATTTCTATAATAATTTATAATTGGCCTATACTTCTTATGCCTTCTTGTTGATCTTTATCTAGTTTGAAAAATCTTTAACTAGGATTGGCCATTTGCTTCTTGTTTTGAGTGGAGTGCCATCATTGCTATCTATTATGATCAGATGAAGTTCAGTCACAAGATATTCAACTTCAAACCAAACAAAGAATTGGATACTATATCATAAGTAAAGTTTGTAAAGAAGAGTAGAGCATATTGATCTTTATTTCTATTCATAATTGTGTATTTTGTCATATCATCATTGTTGTTATATTTTGTTAGCCTATATCTTCTAGCTATATAAGAAATACTATCTGATTTTTTGTTATTAAGGAATCAATACTAACCCCAATGGTACTTTCGGTTTGCCATCCAAGACAACTTGTTTAAGGATAAAGGAAGTTGTTTTTAGCCTTATAGCTTCTTTATCAGCAAGAACCATATCTTCAAAGAAAGTATAGTATAGTGCTGCTAATCAGTATATTTGTAGGTTTTTTAATGAAAGTTTTCTCTCAAAAGAAAGAAAACTTTCTAAAAAAAAAATTTTTAAAGAATGTGTGGTGAATAGGAATGAGTTTTTTTTGAGTATCATTTTTTTATTTATACATATATTACAAAATATATATTTAAAAAGAAATAATATCTTTTACATGTAAATTGCTATTAATTAAATACTAGTTTGTCTACAAAATAATTATTTAATCTATATTAGAAAAAAGATTTTAAAATTAGTATATTAGTTAAATAATACTGGACTAAAGAATTTAATTATTGGTACAATAAACAGAATATGTTTTACTTTAAACTTAACCTGAATAATCTGCTTAAATAATCAAATAGCTACTATTTTAACTAGAATATTACTAGTAAAGATTAATTTTTTATTAAATTATTTAATATTTAATCTTTTCTATTCTTTTAGGATTGTAACAAATTATAGATTATTCATATTTATGACAAGTAAGAAAAGTGCCAGTTATTTTTTACAAAAATTTATATATATATAACTATATTATTTAAATATTTAAGTAAGACTTGACTTAAATATAAAATAGAAAAATATAAAGAAAGTATTTGAATATATAGTAATAGTTTGTTAAGAAAAGTAGTTGAATGCAATAGAATTAGAGTTTCTTATAAATGTTGTTATTTAATTTTGTATAATGGACCTATATTGTTAAGAAATAAGTAAGAAACTTGTATTATTATTATTAGCTCTATTTGCAAAGTAATTAAAATTTCCAATTATTTCATATTATTTTATTAGATTCTTCTAATAATTAGCATAATATATAAAACAATCTAGCATTAATATTACAATATTAATATTAGTTACTATTTTTTTTTGATATTGTGAAGTGTAACTTTTTGGAAATTTAAGTAATAATAGTTATATAATAGCTTTTAAATATATCTAATCTTTACTATTAACAAATAAACAATATTAGATTTAATAATGATAATTATGTTAATCTTTTGGAGAAGGCAAACTGGTTATTTTTTTTTTAAAAACCATAAAAGAGAAATATTAAATTAAATATTAAAAATAAAAAAATCAATTATTAAAATCAATTAATATATAAATTTATTAAATAAAAGTTTAAGAATATAAAAAATTTCAAAACTTACTATTGTATTGAAATGAAATCTTTGTTTAAGTAATTAATAGATTCAAGAGTTTTTTTTACTTTTTGTTTATATAAGAAAAAATCTGTAATAATTATCTTTTATAATTTTTTCTTTATATTATTATTATAATTATTTTTTTTAACAATAATATCTTCTTAAATTATTTTTTAAAGCCTTTATACAAATATATTAAGTTATTTATATAATATATTCTATTTTTTATTATTAAATTTTTTATATTGCATTATCTTTTTTTTTTAAATAGGTAAACATCATCACTTTATTATAATTGTAAAATTGAAAAATTTATATATGAAGAAAGTAACAATATCTTTCATGTAACCAATTGGTCAGCGAGTTTAATACTAGCTTACCTATGGTAAACTATCTAAATTGCAAAAAAAAATAAATATTAAAACTGATACATTATCAAAGATAGTGCCGAGCAGCTATGACCTACTCAGATTTATAAGTAAAAAAACTATAAGAAGTGAAAAAGAAATAAAATACTAAGACCTATGGGTCTATAGCACAGTGGTAATGCTCCATAGGTCACCAGGAGAAGGTCTAGGGTTCAACCCCACCTGGT